GGGGGGTTGGAGTTTGGGATGGGGGTGGAATGTAGGACGTAGCGTAGAACTGCCTTGAGTACGGGGTGTGGGATGTGGATTTGTGGGTGGGTGTGGGTGTGTTCTGTGTGTGCGGTGTGGTGCATGGGCGCGCTTAGCTGGCCTAGGGTAGGGCACGGCAGGGGAAGGGGGGGATGGCTGTTGGTTCGTCACGGCGCGTGTTGGCCTGCAGACGCCGCGAGGTGTGTGTGTGTTGTTCGGAGCTAGGCGGGGAATGGCCTTGGCTTTTTGGGTTGTTGTTCTTTGTCTTGCCTTGCCTTGCCCGTCGGTCGAGTCACTGCTGTGGAGAGAAAGGGGAGGGGGCAAGCTGTTGAGGGTCGCTCACTGGCTGGGTTACCAGAGACTGCGATTGGGATGCCTCCATGCCTGGGGGAAAGGGGGGAGCGGAGAACGGCTGGGTGACTGTCCGGCTTCCCGTTGCTGGGGGGAAAACGGAATGACGGGGTGTATGGAGAGCATGTACTGTACATGGGCATGTACATACCAGGAGGCTGGACGGCAATTTCCAGTGCAGGTGTTTGCAAACACCAATATTTCCAGTTTGTGGAGAGGGAGGTTCGACGCACACCCCTGATCAACATCATGCCATGTCGAGTCCAAGAACCAGGCTCCCAAGGCGACTAACACTGTTGATGATGCCATGTCAATGGAGAATAAACGAACCCACCTTAGGCATGGCCTAGCATGACTCAGGCCCTCTACGGCGTGTAAGTGAGGACGAGGTGCAACTGGGGTATGGGGATGGGGAGCGCATCTCCGCCACGATGCGGCCGCTGAGATGGCCAGGAACAGCCCCGGAAAGAAACAGCAAAAATGCCTCGTTTCTGGCAGTGCCTCTATTGCGCAGACTAACACGGTCCCGAGGGAATGGATTCATGTTGTCGGCGACCCCTTTATGTGACGGGTTAAACTGGACGAGGTTAAACTGGAGGCCCATTTCAAGGCCGCATGAGATGCGGCCTGTTTGGGTCAACATAGCCTCCGAGAAACTTGGGAATAATCCACACTTGAATCGAGTTAACAGACAAAAATGGCATCTTGAACAAGGGGGAGGGAGGAACACAGCCACATAGAAAGCGGCCCTCGATTGAGTTCGTTCCATTGCCTCGAGATCAAGAGGGGATTGATGTTTTGGGAATTGATCAAATGATTGGAAACACATGCGAACGGCGTGGTTTGCTTAACGCCGCCAGCTGCAGGCGGTCTTGGCAACCAGGTATAAGTGAGGCTGGGTGGGAGGTATGTGCCATGTCTCAGGGTTAAACTCTTCAACAACCATGGACATACCTAAAATTGCAAAACAGGGGAGAAGTAAAACAGACGAGGCGAAGGAAACGGGCAAAGACAAGGCACAGAAAACAGGAAAGAGACCAGTGGGCTTTCCAGGTTCACAGGTACAAAGCTTGTGAAGATGATAACCTGGATGTCATGACAGGCCATCCGATGCAACAATGAGGCAGTTAATAATTCGGAATACCGTAGTCATCGTCATCCTTTCAAGGTTCCGACTCAGTTGTCGAGTCGGTCATTTTCATCCCATCTCTCCGCAGTTTTCCAATAATCCCAATGGCCCAATGGCCCCAATGGCAATGGCTGGCTAAGCAGGGATAAAAAGTAGGGAAGGAACAACAAAGCCCGCTCCTTCAGTGGAATTATCGGCGTAACCAGCCCTATTACAAAGCTAAATCCAGACCGTGCCGTAGACGGGCGCCGAAACACCACCAGTCCGACGACGTAATCGGAGCATAGTGGCCCACTAGTAACTCCGCCTAGACGGAATTCCGACTCAGTGCGGAGGTGGATGACGCACATTCGGCCCCCAATTGGGACCTGAAGCGTAAGATTCTAGGACTAAGGGTATCTAATGTTGAAACGGCCCTATATTGCAGCATGAACTGCTCAAGAAGGAAAGGATGGAAGAGCAGGAGTGCAAGGGGGAGGGGTGGGATGAGAAGTGGCAAGAAATCCAAAGGGAAAACGGTGATGCGGCGCGGACGAGATCACAACGGTTCTGTAATTCCGCCATCGACCCGAAGCTCTCATTACAACATCCGTTCCAAGACCTGTTCCGCCGTATCAAAAAAGAACGGGGCCGGGAGGGGAAAGAAGGTGAGCATCGGCGCCACAACCGCTCCCCGGGACACGGCGGCATGCCCGGCCGGGTGTGACTCGGGATGATGAAACCAACACGCGAACCAAGTCAAAGAAAAAGTATAAAAAAAAGTAAAGATAGCGGGGGCCATCACATTCGGCATCGGCAATGGGTCGGCGCCAACAACCAACACGAACGCCAACGCGGGGTCGCGCACCCGCCGTCAATCAGCTTGCGTGTGAAGTAAAGAAAAAGGGACGGACGGAACGGGATGTGATGGTGTGGCAGAGCAAAGCTGCGATAGCTAACAAGCTCAGCTGGTGTTTCACATTCACCGTGACGGCGGCAGCGGCAGTTGGGAGCCGGGAACGCAACGCAACGCCGAGACGCGGGTTCGCGGCGCCGGCGGCCATGTTGGAGGTTCAAGATCACATTCCGTCGTCTCCCGAGCTCCGGAGCTGAAAACCCCAACAACCCCAACCGCCACCACCACCACTACCACCACCACCACTACCACCGAAAAACACGCGGAAAAGACAAAATGGCTTGTTGTGCCGCACCACCACCACAATCCCCGCAACATTTAAAACAACCAAAAAGACCCCAAACCTACCCCCGACTAACCTCGGACAACCAACAACACCAAGCCGGCCGTAACAACGACAACAACCTTCTCCGCCAAGCATAACCCCCAAGACTCGTTGGGTCGATCGGCTAGGTACGGCATGTGATACTCAACATACAACCAATGCCAGACACGCCCACCCAACCGGGTCCGTCACGGACGGGAATAGCAACAGCGGCAACAACCGCAACAGCAACTACAATCGCAACGGCACGAGCACCAACCCCCTCTCCCCTCTCCTACTCCCCCCTCAACCTTTCCCAAAGGCTTCTCCCCCCCGCCACACATCGGCGAACTCACCACCGACGACCGACGACCGACGACCGACGACATACCGACGACCTATCCACGGACGCTCGGCCGACCGACCGGCCGGATGAGGGAGGCACGTACGCAGTGTGTAACCAACCCACCACCGACCCGCCACCAACCCAGCGGGCCGGACACGTGGGAGTTTATTTTAGCAGTCCGGTCTCGTGTCTGGTGTCTCATGTCTCATGTCGTGCGAGCGGCGCTGTGCTACGTGATGAGACTTGCACAAGAGGTGACACGACCATCACCCAGAGGCAGGGCGGGGGGGCAGGTAAGTGCTTCTTGCTTGCTCTGCTGGAGCGCGCAGTGTGTGTAGAAACATGTTCCGATTGATGGCATGCTATTTGAAACTGTTCCCGTAGTCACACACACGGCTATATAGATAAGACATCCATGACTTGGATAGGCAGTCGCCACGCTTGCTGGATGAGACAGACTCGGTTCGCTTCTTGGTGTGTGTTTTTCCGTTGTCCAGACCCCAGACCGCGCCCGCAACCCAAAACCACATACCCCATGAACCCCGTGACAAAAATGCGCTGGAAAAAAAAAGGGTATTTCATCAGAAAATGTAAACATACTGTCAAAAAGTGGTGATGCCGGGTCGTGTTTAGTGGATAAACACGGCCTCTCCAAAATGAGGATTAGTCCGTGTCGGCATCAAACGCACCGCACCGCACCGCACTCTTCCTAAGCACTCTCGATCGGGACAAAGGTGTTGTAGTTGAAGTCCATCAGGCCGTCCAGCATCCAGTGCTGGGGGTCCCAGAAGTCGTAGTTGCTGTCGTAGTTGTTCAGTCCCAAGATTGAGCCTTGCGTGCCTCCTCCCATCGCCGAGCCCCCACTGGGCGTCAGAGCCCCGTTGGACGCCGCCAAGCCTAGGTTGGCCGGGAGACTGTGGGATGGCGGAGCGAGGGTGCTGTCCAGATGAGTGGAGGAGGCTGAAGACTCATTAGCCGAATCGGGATTCGTGGGTTGCTTGAGAGCTACCAAGGAGTGTCTTAGCCCGCACGAGTTCACCTCAGAGAGACAGGGTAAAGACGACGGGTCTGGAAAGCAGACGGGGTGTGGAGCGTTTAGGGGGGAACTCACCATCGAGCGTGCCTCGACCTCTAGCTTGGTATTCCTCCCGCCAATGCCAGATCGAGTCGAACACGAGACTCATGCTATGTCGGCACCTGACCTTGAGTTGGAGGCTGTCGTCAATCTCCGGGTCGTCGCCTTGGAACGACGGCGAGCTTCCTTCGATCCTGGCCCCGTTCCAAATCTGGACCATCAACTCGGCGAGCCTCCAGTTGAGGTCGTTTTGCACCACACTGGCAGCCCTGATGGCCTGAATGGTCCGGTGGAAGAGCGTCCGGCCGCGCTCGAAGTCGACCTGTTTGACAAAGAATGACCGCATGAGCTTGAGCAGAGCAAACCCCGCAGCGACTAGCATCTGCTGTATGTAGTTTGTGGCGTATTTTAGAAGATATTGGTCTCGGAGCTGATACCGATAGGATTCGTGGCTGTTATCAGGCACCGGGCCGTCCAGAATGTAGTCAAGGAAGCCGGTGATGGCACGCCACAGCGCCATCAGGTCGTCAAGGTACCCGGGCGTACGGCTCGAGTCAAAGAAGCCGGCAAGCCTGAGATGGAGGCAGGCTGCCTTGAGGTGAAGGTAGACGATTGGCGACAAGTTTTGTGCCAGGATGGAAGCCTGCAGTTCGTTGAACTCGCGACGGTACACCCTCATCAACATAGCACGGTGTTCATCACCGGCCACGCCTCGGGGGTCGCTGGCGTTACTATACATTTCTTTTGAGACTTTGTCGCAGAATCGCTCGATCAGCAACCTCGCCTCTAGCTCCGGTCCGAGCGCGAACGGCCCCTCGACGCCCGGCCGAACGGCCAGTGTCCAGTCGTAGAGGCTCGACGCTGGCTGGCCGTATCCCGTCCCGATGGTCTGGGCTACGGTGTTGCAGACCGCCCACGTCTTGATGCGGTCATGAAGCCCTTCCGAGTTCAACTCCACAGCAACTCGCGAGAAGTCGTTGATGTGGTTGGGCCGGTGCAAGCCAATGCCGGTAGCCGTCTTCATCATGACACCACAGAGAATATGCGTGGGGTCGGCCGACGTCGTGCTCGTCGGGAGGGGCCAGGTGCAGAGCAGGCAGAGGGCCTTGACGACGAAATAGCTCTGGGGGACGTCCCCAACGGTGTTCCAGAGCAACCTTGTCAGCGGGCCCGAGAGCTTGGTGAGGAGGTTGGAGTCGGACCCGAAGCGTCGGCCGGCAACGGCAATAATGGCCCAATATAGCAAAGGGTGTTGTTGATAGTACTGGTCTGGTGTCTGGGTGGCGTTGAGGAACGGGAGGAATGGGTGGTAGTAGTTAAAATATTGACTGAACAGTTGAGTCTCCTCGTCCTCGGTGAGCCTGAAGTTGCCCAGCTCGCGGGCGATGCGAGGAAGCGCGTATGATCCGCCGCGCTTGAGGTGAAGTAACGATGAGACGGCCTCGTCTGATCCCATCAAGGAGGGATTGCGGGTATGCGTGTACTGGCTCGCGACAACGGGCGACTGGAGCTGTGACTGCATGGCGGAATGGACGGCGGAATTGAGGGTCTCGTCGTCCTCGTCAAGAGCAAAGCCCTGATTCCTGGCCGACTCGACAGCACGACGCAGCCTCTCGATTTCCTTTTCCATCTCGGCATGCTTGGAACGTTTGCCGATACGCTTGAAATTGGACTCGATTTTACACTCGAGCTTGAGCCTGTTGCACCGCGAGCAGCTCTGAAACGGATCCTGGACGACATCGCAGCGAAGCTGGAGCGGGAGTAATGCGTCAGTATTGTATGACAACACACACAAAAGAGAGAGCAACCGACGGCGGAGTTGGGAAGACCGGAAGCATGATCCGGCGAAGTTCGGACCCGGATCCGGTGCGGACACGGAAGCGGGCGGAGGGGAACGGGGCAACGGGGGAACGGGGGCTCGGTGACTCAACAAACATGTGACTACCTTTTGTTGACGGCACTCATTGCACGCACGCTTCACACCGGGCAAGCGTCGGCTCTTGGTGTCTGGCGAGGCGTCGGCCCTCTCGTCGTGGTCGAGGTCGTGGTCATGATCGTGATCATGTTCGAGGTCGAGAAGACTGGCCGGACTGCTATCGATGGTGCTCCGTTTACGCTTAGAAGGACCACTGCCGTTGAGACCTTGGCCCCGCATACCAGCGGCAAACTCGGGGCTCTCCATGGCCGAACCGGCGCCCCCCGAGGGTGGGGAGAGATAAGAACAGACGGTGTAAGCACTGAGGCCCGAGTGGGTTCCCGGTTCCCGAGACGGCACGGGACGGTATCAGTTGGGCTTGTTGGGCCGCGGCAATTCGGTCGGTGGAAGGTCCGGTCTCGCGGTTGCGATGCGAGAGAATTGGAGGTGAAAAAGCCGATTTACGGAAGGGCGTTGTCGCGCAAGCCAGTCTTGTCCCTCCGCCAGAGCGGGGCTGGTTCGAGCGAGCGGGGGAGCTCTGTGCACACAGAATTTGACTGTGGGGGTCAAATTGCGACTGGCCATTGGTTTAGAGAATGGTTCGATCCACTTTGCGGGTTCCAAAATGACTCCACGTGTTGCATTTGAGTGGATCCAATCTTGCTTGCTTCCCATTTCTGCTTCTCTTTTTCCTCTCTCGAAGCATCGCTAAAAGCCAAGGTACCTACTTTATGGTATGGATTGGATGTGAGGTGATGCGAGATGCGGACTTTCCGGGGATTTAGAGAGAGGCATCGGAAGAGCTGACTTCCAGAAGCTTCATTATTTATTATTGATTCTAGACTCCCACCACTGCTGTCGCTGTCTTCCAGCAACCGAGACATGCGGCGGGTTCCATGGTACGTCCAGTTGTACAACTAACAGCCACATACATGCAAGAGACGTGGCCAGCGGGGCAACTTGGCTTGGTCCTGGCAGCCTCCTCGTAAATCGTATTTCTCTCACAGTCGTATCTTAACCCTAACCCTACTCCTAACCGTGTTGTACCTTTCCCCCTTTTATATCCTCTGCCGGTGACAACACCTAAAACAACACTAGGAACTATATCGGTACAAGTCGGTGCGCTGATATACGGCATTCTAACCCGGCTTCCGCTTTTCCAACAACTTCTCTTTCCAAAGAACACCAGTCCTCCACATCCCGCCCTCCACGCTCAGTCACACGCTTCTGTGATGGGGGCAAAACATCTTCAGGAACATCCGGTTCTAGCTAGAATTTGAGTGGTGGATTGATTAAAGGGGCGTCAAACTATGCACCATTTCTTGCGTCCAGCGTTGCAGGCGGAACCGGGCGTCGCCCCGTGCTACGTCTGCCAGAACTACCACCAAGCAAGCGGTCTAGGCCGTCCTTTCCGTTCGGCATATCTCGCCCTGAAATACTTTTCTCGCTGAGTTTCTCAAACCTACGTGCCGGTAAATTTGCGCTCGCCTCCTCACCGGCACTGAACACGCGCGGTGTGGTAGCACGGTGACGGGTCGCTTGTCCCGTATCGTGCTCAACATGCAGGACCCCCTAAGCGTCGTTGAGGGCGTATCTGTAAAAGGCGTCGTGCTTTTGTACCTTGACGGATATACGACGGTACCGATACTTACATGTCGATAGTGGCGTGCAGGTGCGAGCCAACAGCCCGTGTCTCAATAGCCGCCATGCGTTTGGAACCAACAGCAGGCCCTGCAGCACACCAAGAGACACATGCGTCGTCGTCAGCCAGTAGGCCGCAACAAGACCATTTGCGGTTTAATTTGAGCTGTCCCTTCAGTATTAAATCTTCCGGTGGCGATTACTAAGGTCATGCATTGGAAGCTGGTTCCTGAATATTGGCTTTCCCGGTAACCATCTAGAGGCTCGACCAGCATGACGGAGAACGGAGAAGGTTGGGTGATATGCACCGCAGGTAATGGATGGAGCTCTCTGGTCTAACGGATCGCAGCTCCGGGTGGAAGCTTTTGGAGAGGGATCCCTGAGGACATGCGAAACCAAGCACGAAGAACAGAACGAAGTCCCGAGTCAACCACAGATTGAGACAGTCCACCCTCCAGCCATCACTGCACGTCCGCGTCATACCTTGTAAGGGTTCAGCTTGAGTTTTATCATGACTACCACGATAATCGATTGGTGAACCTATGAATAAAGCCTATTTACTACCAGTCTGTTAAGAGTGATACTAGAAGAACAACTTAGTTGCTGAGGGTCGGTTGATGATGGTCTTAGGGACTGGCAAGCGAGACAAGGCGAGTGAACGAACCAGTCACAAAACAAAAGAATATACTTCGAACATGTCAAGTAATATCGACATTGATATCACACAAGGAAACAGAGAACGACACCAAGCAACGAATGTTATGTCTGCCCCTTTGCTCAGGAGGTGGCGCAGGCTAAGCACTAGCCACATCGTAAAGAGCCAGTGGCTGGTGCGACAATGACGACACACAACCTTGATGTCCCCTCCCAATCCTTGGCAGAATTAATTTTGGGTCTACAAGAGCCCGAACACAGAATTGTCCCGCAATTAATTTGAAGATTCTAGCAAACGCAAGACACACTCCATAATGGGGTCATCTGGATCAAAAGTAGCACAGCAAACCGTGCGAAAGTTCCCCTCGCGCGCGGGGGGTTCATCACCGGCAACATCAGCACCGAAACCAAAAGCGAGCTCAACACCACGAATGCGCCCTCCTCCCTCAACAACAACACCAACACCAGACGCCCAACCGCGATCCCGACCGCAAGCTTCTTACACGAAAGACGAGGGTTAGTTCTAAGGAGTCATTGGGTACAATCATGTAACCTGAAACTAACGATAAGCCAGCTATCCGAGCCGACGCCATGGATCCCAACCGCCCCGAATTCAGCGCCGAGTTCGCCGACCGTCTGCAGAAAATGGGCATTGTGCAACCCAACCCGACATACTCGCCGTCGTCCATAGCGTCTCCTTTTCTCAATGCGCCGGGAAACACCCCATCTGCGTTGTCGCCGCACTACCCCTCGCCTTCAAGCAACGTAACCCTTGGTGTTCTCGAAGCACGGCGGCGGCTCGAGGCGCGCGCCAGGGAGGAGCTCGAAAACATGGGCAAGTCGAGCGACAAGGGGAGAGAGTTTGTGGATATCGGCACGGTCAAGCAGATGCTAGTGCTGCGCCAGAGTGGCGCCCCAGCGACAGACATTGAGAAGCGCTTGGGGCTCAGGCCCGGCCTCGTCGCGAAGTTGGGACCCCAGGGGGTAGTGGCGCCTGCGTCATGAGCTGGGTGTGACCGATGAAATCAAGCTTGCATTATTTGCTGAAGCTGGTTGCCAGCGGATGGTTCTACTCTGAGCCCCGGCCGAAAAGAAAAACCCCAAAAGAAAACCGCGACACCGGCTCTATGTACAGTATTACAGCTTCGGATACCCCGACCACATGAAAACTGGCTCCATTGTCTCGCTTCTCGGTACCATCTCGTCTCCTCTTTTTACCACGCGCAATGGCCGCCGTCAATCCTCAAATCAGCCCCGGTCATGAAGCTGCTGGCGTCGCTGAGCAGGAACACAGCCGCGCCTCGGTACTCCTCCGGGTAACTCAGCCGCTTGAGCATGTTGGCATCGGGCCAGGCCGTCCGGCGCTCGGGCACGGCGTCAAACAGGGAGGCGGTCATGGCGGTGACGATGTACCCCGGCGAGATGGTGTTGACGCGGATGCCGTGCTCGCCCCATTCCGAGGCCAGGTTGCGGGCGAGCTGCAGAACGGCCGCCTTGGATGCGTTGTACGCCCTAATCACATTTTGGTTAGCCGGCGGGTCACATAAAACAAGACGGCATCAAAGAGAGACCGAGGCGGGAAATACTCACGGGCAAATCAGCCCCCTATTCGCTACAGTCCCACTCATACTCCCAATCAGCACCAAACTGCCCTTCTGCTTGCGCTTGATCATCTCGCGCGCAACCGCCTGCGCCGTCATAAACACGCCCGTGACATTCACCCCCAACATCCGATCCGCATCCTCGGCAGTATACTCCAACGCAGGCGTCTCCTGCTGGATCCCCGCAGCGGCAATCAACCCGTCGACGCGGCCCTCCTCCTCGGCAATGGCACCCACCACATCGCCCAGGGCGGCCTGGTCGCGCACGTCGACGCGGTGGTACCGCATGCGCGTGCCCAGCTCGGCGGCGGCGCGCCCCGCCACCCGCGCAAAGTCGCTGTCGCCCGTCGGCGTCGGCAGCCGGTCCAGCGCGTGCACCACCGCCCCGGCCTCCAGCAGCGCCTCCGCCTGCGTCAGCCCCACCCCGCGCGCCCCACCCGACACGATCACCACCCGGTCGCGCAGGCTGAATTCGGGCAGGAGCGTGCTGCCGGTGGGTTTGGTGGTGGTGTTGCGGCCCTGCTGCTGCTGTAGGGTTCTTGTTTGGTGGAGGCTGCGGGAGAAGATGGCGAGGGGTGATGCGGTTTGGGGTTGGATGCACCGGCGGGCTAGTAGTGCTCGTGAGCCCGCCCTTAGGGCTGTCCTAGAGGAGGTGAAGGGTGGCATGGTAGAGGAAGGCGTTTTGGAGGGGGAATGTTTGGTTTGTCCTACAAATGATCCTCTTGGTGAACGGGTTGGTTGCGATTGGGTTGGTAAAGGAGCATTGGGAAAAGGAGGCGAGCTGGCATTCTTATAGTACCTACTTTTGCGGGTTGCCGTTTTCATGGCGCGCCCAGAGGTCAGATGACAGACATGGGAAGCGCAAAACAGGGCCAGCACACCTGACCCGATCCGTCTCTTCTTTCCAACTATACGAACCATGGAAACGACCAGCACCCACCTCACCTCACCGTCATTCCTGCCCTAGCCGGGTCGGGGAAAGGCCTTAACAGCGGGTGGCGGCGGCGGCCCACCCCTCCCTTCCCTCCCGTTTCCCGCACATACCTAGGCACCGACCTTCCTCTTGCCCAGCCAACCAGCCAGCCATTGGAGATCTGGCCCTTTAGGTGACGAGGGCGTGCGTGCGTGCTACACCACCATAGCCGTCCCAAAACAGGGCGGGCCAGACCCAAGGTCCATTCCAAGCGCACAGCACACCACCCTGCACTCAAGCGCCGGAGCTCCACCCCCCAGCCGGTGAGTGAACCCGTTGCTTCCGATGTCTGCTTCCCATTGGCACTCTCCGCGCCAGCCGTACATCGGTGGCCCCAGAGCCTTTTCGCCCGGGGCCCTTTCTGTCCCCGTTGTGCGGCTTGCCCGCCCTGGGCTGCAGCAGTCCAAAGGGGCCTAGACACATCTCGAACTCACCCCCCCCCCCTCCCCCAACGGCTGGGGCGGGGAGGAGGGGGGCGTTGGCAGGCGTTAAAACTAGGTCGGTAGCGTCGATCTGGGGGCCTGCGGAGAAAGTTGACCGGGTTTCCTGAAAGGGTAAGCCCGGGCGAGTGGGTGGGGGGGGCGGGGGCCGGGAGCTTATGCCGATCTTTACTGCTTCCGCGGCCCGGCATTGGGAAGTGGAGTGGGGAGATGGGATGGGGATGGGGATGGGGATGGGGATGGGAATGGGAGGGGTCGGGTTGTGGCTGTGGCTGTGGCAGGTTGCAGGTTGGCACCAATGCAAAGAGGTGCTGTGTGTGCTGTTTGCAGGCATGACAGGACAAGCACAAAAGGGCTTTGCCGGGCTCGGCACGTGCTCGGCTGCGTTCAGCTGCGCTGGAAGATGTCACCGATGGTGATCATGGCGACTGCGCCTTTCCCATCTGACCCCAGAACCGGTCCGTGTGCTGCCGATCCGGGCCCCGGTTCCCGGGTGGAGTTTGGGAATATCCGGGTTTGCGGGTCCGGCTCCGACAACGAAGTGATGGGGATGATATGATATGGGGTGAACGAAAAGCAAATCAGTGTTGTGTAACAATCTAGAACACGATATCCATCTACCCTCGCACTGCCTCGGTACCTCTGCCGGTCCAACACACAAACATTTCCGCTCAGATGATGTACCAGCCCGCAAAGAATTCGAAAATGCCCCAAACCGGGCCCGATTGGTAGAAGTCAGATCGGACGGCCCGGTTCGAGGCGACATAGTTGAGAACTCTGAACTCCCGCCCGCACCAAGCCCGGACATCGTCCTCGGAGAGATCCTCGACGCCGCCCTCACGATATGTGCCTTCGCTAACTCGCTGTCGGAGCAGCTCCTTCACATTGTGCGCGAGTTGTTCGGTGTGGCGTTGGCAGCGGCCGATGAGGTGCAGGAACCAGCGGTAGGCCAGGGTGAAACCGGCGTGATAAACGGTCAGCCCAGTCAGGGCCCATCCCACGACCTTGGGCTCCGGCGAGGGCCAGAAGTAGAGCTGGACAGCCTTGACGAAGGTGCTGTGAAGGCGTTAGCTCGCTGGCTGATGGCTGATGGCTGATGGCTGATGGCTGAGAGCTGGCGGTGGGGGAGGGAGCGGGAAAATGGGGCGCTGGGTAAGCGTGGGAAAGGAACGAAGAACGAAACGTACGCGGCTGCGAGGCATTGCCATGAGTACCGCAAGGCCGGAGTGAGGTTCTCCTTCAGGTTTTCGAGCGAGAACATGTACTCGCGAAAATCCCATATGGTCATCACCTCTAAACCCGCCGTCGCAAGGCTCCGCTCGTGCTTTAGGTTCGTCATGGCCTGGGCGAAGCTCGGTGGAAGAAAGCGCCGGGTCGGCCATGGCGATGGCACTTAAACTGCAGACAGACAGGTCAGCATACCAAAAACATGCAATACACAAAGCAACCATGTGTTAGAAATGTGTAACCACACAGCTTGAGCTCCTCTTTGGCTTTGTCTTCCAGATAATACTTTAGATGTTTCTCAGTCATCTCATGAAGCACGTATACACTGTCGAGGTCTTGAGCCCGTTTCCAGGCATCGACACTGAACTCCCATCCCAGCCTTTCGACGCTGGAGAGTGCTTGGTGAGCCATATTCGTAGTAGGCTGGTGGGCTGGTAGGCTGGGTGGGCTGCTGTGGGAAAAGACTGGTGATGGTGCGTGCGTGATGAAACTTTGTGATGGGGATCACGGAAGCGACGGCGATGATGGAACTGATGGAACTGATGGAACTGATGGAACTGATGGAACTGATGGAACTGATGGAACTGATGGAACTGATGGAACTGATGGAACTGATGGAACTGATGGAACTGATGGAACTGATGGAACTGATGGAACTGATGGAACTGATGGAACTGGCGGAGATGGCTGAATGCAAGCGAGCAGGGGAGAGATGCCGCGGCGTCTGGTCAGAGTGCAGGTCAGGAGAGAAAGGGCGGGTAGCCACAGGGCGCAAAGCCGCGTTTGACGTTCTTTGTTGCAAACAGACGGGGTGCACGTGTCATCGGAGGAAAAGGAGGTAAACCCTCAAAGGGAAAAAAACTATTGATTGGGACTGAAACGAACAAAGAGACTCCTCTCAGCCACTATTCTCGCACACCGCTCTCCTTCCATCGGAAATTTGACACTCTGGCTAGGCAACCAGACATGGACGAAACTGACGAAACTGACCAGCACAAAGAATGACGGAGAAATGGGCGTATTCCGTGACTGAGGCCGAAACGACCAGTGCAATATTGCTCCTGCCCCGCCCCTTTCCCCCCAAGGTTCTATCATCTGTCACATTTTCTTCCTCGTCGCCGGTCCGAAAGGAGGCAGTCTCTGACACAAGCTCGTCGTGGGCCGTGATGGCGTTGAACGTGCGCCTCGAGCGTGCTCGCCGCCACAGAAGAGCAGACTGAGTTATATCGGAGGGGGCTCAGGTCAACCGATAGCCTCGTCTCTTATGTTCCCCTTCGATTAACAGATTAACACAATCCAGTACATCATCCCAATCACACTGAACTGGCTTGTACATACTTTGGGCCGCCCCCTCCTACTTCTGCCCCCTTGGTTTTTCCTGAGACCCGCCGCATCATGCAGCGGAGCTCTCGACGGCTCACGTTGAGCGTGGGCACTTTTGAGGAGGTGGTAGATGGGAGGGTGACACTCACCGATGATGTTGCCCGCAAACCCACACGCCCCTTTTCCCCCGAGTTTGGCTGGAACGCCATTGTCCGTCGAACCACCTCTCATCAGGGCACTGCTAGCAGCGCCGCATCTGCGAGCGCTAGCTCTCACCATCTCCAATTCAAGGTCAGTCCAACTCTCTCCATCTCTAGCTTTTTATGATGCCTTTGTCCGGCTTTGCGCACGAGCAAGCCCTTTGGCATGATACTGACATCCTCAAGCTCTCTCTCACCCACCAGACACTCTACCACGAATACGGCGAGGCCCAGGAGCAAGCGACAGAGCTAGCGATCGACGTATTGTGTCGACACTTCTTCACCCCGAATGGACGTCTGAATCCACACAAGGCCAATCCCAACCCGAACCTCTTCTACGTCCCCATAATAGACGCCAACAGCCCGGCCGACTATCTTTTTGCCATGAAGTTCTGCATCCACGGCGGCAAAAACCTGAGTCAAGGGTCCAGCACCGCAAACTCCATCCGCCCTTCCTCATCCGGCACTGTTGCTCAGATAACAGATTTCGCTTGTTCCGTTATCAGCTCGTAAGTCATGACACTGTTTTTTATGTGTTTTCATGGCCACTTCTTGGCCCATCTCCTTTTCGTCTCGGGACATGTAATTGGATGCTAACCATCTAATCTTGGTGGCGGCCCAGAATCTTTACAGCCAAGAGCAGCATCCAACCGGAGATGGGAGCGTCCAATGCTGCAGCAGCCACGCTTAAGGCAATGGGTGCCGACAAGATGCAGGTAAGCAGTTGGCCCGCACATACTAAACTGTGGAATACCGTTTAACCGAGGAAGCAATCTCAGCAGACCAGCGAGCCCGACGACCGCCTCATTCGGGCTTCGGACTGCAGTCGAGCGACCAGCGATATCCAGACCGCGCTCACGGAGATGGGGAACGGTAAGCACAAGATTCTCTGGAATGGAGCCTCGCTCGGACGCCACTGACCTGGCGATTGCCCACAGTCATCCAGCTTTCAACTGCCAACCCACAGGTCCTGAGGGAACACTTGAACAGCCTCATGGACGCTATGGAGATCATTACAAAACACCATGGGGATGTCTGGCGACAAGGGAGGTTTGAAACTGCGTTCACCGGACTGTTGGTGACCGTGGGGGGCGGGAGACGTTGCGGCGCTGGTAACAAAATGGATGGGCGGGCTTGGGGAGATGGCAGCCACCACTCATCACACCAACGCCCTATTTGTTATGGTAGGCATTGTATCGCTGATCGCCGCGTTTCGTCATATGCGCACAGCGGAAACAACCGGGAAAGGTGAGTGAGAACACGCAGCACCTTTCTTCCGCATATCAGCTGGTAGCTAACTTTGTACACTAGATGCGACCGCGATGGACAAGAGCCGGAAGACGATGCACTGCTGGCTCTGTAAGATCCTGATAGACGCGCTGCGCAGCGACTACCAAAGCCGCCGGGACGCCCCGGCGACTGCTAAGCTCGTCATGGAAATGGTGGCCGCCTTGGACCCGGAAGCGCTCAAAGGGTGGGACTACCGGTCCGCCTCGGTCGAGTACCTGAGTCGGGAACTGAGGTTCTTGGTACAGGGTTGGGCAGGTCTGGCCAAGTAGCCGCTTATAGCGCTTTAACAGAGATAGTGGTTGCCCTCACCTCAGCCGGCCAGGAAGGCAGACATCTGAGGATATGGGATTGGGACAGGTTGGGGGGAGGGGGTTGGGTGGTGAAGGAGTTGGTTAGACTGTATTTTTTCCTAGGTCCTTTCTTAGATGCTTTCCTAGATTGCGGGTTATTTCATGTATCTAGATGTCACATAGAATTGGGTCACCAATCGAGCGTGTTTTGTCTCTCCACGGCGAATATATTCGAGCACCTGGTTGTCTACCGGTTCCGAACCTTCGGTTCTTCGGCCTCTGCCAAGACGGGGCGGTCGGGGAGTTCGGCCAGGACGGGATGCAGTGAGTTGGCCCGACAGCAGCAGGTCTACAAATTGGCACAGCTTGTCTCAAGATCGCATGTCTCTATCCCGGCTCGCCTGTTCCTGCAAGGGCCGACCCATTGCATTCTGCTGCATCCCGTGGCATCCCGTCGCATCCCGTTACATCCCGAGAGCGGATGCCCGCCAGCCCATGTCGGATTGGCTCAGGTCAGGTATCGTACGATACATCTGCCGAAGCTCAATGCGCAGGGGACGGGAGAAGAGTAGAGGGTGGCGATGGAACGCGCCCCATGTCGTCGCAGAACTTTCGCAAGCAAGTATATAAATCCCTCGTTGTGCGTGCCGGTGATGATACTGCTATTGAAGAGGACAGAAGCAAATCAACTTTTCCAACTGTGGGGCTGTCGGGAGCTAGGGCTAGGGAGGACGCTGTTCGTCCCATCATGGCATGGCACGCGACCAAAAGAAAACAGGAACTGGGGTTTGTTTACAGTTGGAAGCGGAACCGAAAGAAAACCACCGGCAATCCGGGTTGCGACCCCTGTTCCGTGTATCCATCCAACCCCCATCCCATCATACGAGCCGGGGAGGCCGGTTCGGGCCAGACCTTCACTTGCCGTGGTTTGTGGGGGAAAAGGATGTAAGAAACGAAAAAGAAAAACCAGAGAAAGAAACAAAACCAAGAGAAAAAAAAAAGGGGAGCCGAGATGACCCACTCTTGTTTCCTCCCAGCCGTTCATCTATAACTTCAGAGCGGCTTCGCCTTCCGTCACCAAAAACCTCGCTCATCCTCTACGAACTCGCTTGTTCCCTGTCTGGCTTCTTCGTCGCACAAGGACATTGAGAGACACACACACCATGGCACTTACATACCAGCAGTCGAAGCTCGTCAAGGACACGATCCCGGCGCTCCGGGAGAAGGGCGAGCAAATCACCACCAGCTTCTACAAGACCATGCTGCAGAACCACCCGGAACTCAACGACTACTTCAACAGCGTCAACCAGAAGAACGGGCGGCAGCCGCGGGCGCTGACGTCGGTGATCCTCAACTTCGCGTCCAACATCAACCACACCAGCGAGCTGATCCCCAAGCTGGAGCGCATGTGCAACAAGCACTGCTCGCTCGGCATCCAGCCGGAGCACTACGGCATCGTCGGCAAGTACCTCCTCGGCGCCTTCGGGGAGGTGCTGGGCCCGGCCATGACCCCGGCCGTGCTGGCCGCCTGGGAGAGGGCGTACTGGCTGCTCGCCAAGATGCTGATGGGGCGGGAGGCGCAGCTGTACCGGGCCTTTGCGGCGTGGCCGTCGTGGCGCGCGTTCCAGGTCGACCGCGTGGTGCGCGAGGCCGGCGCCGACGGCGACGACATCTACTCCTTCTACCTGGTGCCGCGCGACGGCGCGCCGCTGCCGCGCTTCCTGCCCGGCCAGTACGTGTCGCTGCGCATCCGCGCGCCCGAGAGCCACCTGCAGGCCCGCCAGTACTCGCTCAGCGACGCCTGGCGCGAGGACTACTACCGCATCAGCGTCAAGCGCGACGAGGGCGCGCGCTACGCCAACTCGGTCTCGCGCTCCTACTTCCACCCGGGCCTCGTCTCCAACGCGCTCATCGACCACACGGGGCCGGGCTCCGTCGTCGAGCTGTCCCACCCGGCGGGCGACTTCTTCTTCGACGTGGCCAACAACACCAGCGCCATGCCCGTGGTGCTGATCTCGGCCGGCGTGGGCGCCACCCCGATGGTGGCCATCGCCAACACCATCGCCGCGACCCAGCCGGGGCGCGCGGTATCCTGGATCCACGGCTCGCGGCGGTCGGTGCCCTTCGAGGCGCACGTGGCGCGCCTGCGGCGGGAGTGCCAGCCGGCGTTCCGCGCCGCCATCTTCAAGTCGCGCCCGGCCCCCGGCGACGTTCCCGGCCCCAACGCCGGCTTTGACTTTGTCGGCCGCGTCGACCTCGCCAGGCTCGACCAGGACCGCGACCTCCACCTGCGCAGCTCCGGCGCCGAGTACTACATCTGTGGGCCGGAGCCGTTCATGGTGGATATGGCTGACTATCTCCGCACGCGCGGGGTCGGGCCCGAGAGGCTGAAGTTGGAGCTGTTTTCGACGGGGGAACTGGCGTTGAAGAGCTAGTGATGGATTTGGTAAGGGGTGGCGGGGCGGGGGCGCGGGATCTCATCGTTCCGTTTTGTTGAAGTGCTTTCTTTTTGGTATTCGTCGTCCTTGTCCTTCATTTTTGTCTTTGGCTGCTGTTGCTTTGTTGCATTGAAGCCAGTGTCGCCACAAGTCGGACGTGGAGACAGACTTTGATACCCTGGGATGGCTTCTTTCTTTTTTTCTTTCTTTTTTTCTTTTCCCTTTTCCCCTTCGTCAGTAATCGAGCATTGGGTGCGGAAGACTACATTCTTGAGGTATACAAGGGTGCATAAAAATCATGGGCGGGCAATGGCGTCGCTAGAGGGCATTAAAAAGAAAGAAAAGAATAGGTTTGGTGGGCATGTATCTGGTATAGAGAAAGCAAAACGGCACATTGGGGGGATTAATTAGGTAGAGTAGCGCTCAGGGCAAAGGAGCTGTGAGGCAAGGGGGATGTTGTGTGTTAGCGGTGCTTCGTACCGTAATTATACCAAGTAAATTACAGAGGTGGCTCGTGCGGTCTTGGCCCCTTGCCGGGCCGTCCCGCATTTTTATCGCCCCTTGCCGCTCCCGATCAACGATCATCGATCAACTGAAACTTCCAAGGAAGTCCAACGACACGAAACCTCTTCCGGCACGGATCCCCTGCATACCACGTGCTCCCGTCTCACAGTTCGACACACCTGTACATTAAATTACATACCCATAAACCTTATTTCAACCCTCAAAGGTCTCATGCATGCATTGCCCCACCCCCATTCGAACGGGCGGGGCTTCTCTTTCATGATTGTGAAATGGGGCTCAAGGCCTCGTCGTGGACAGGCAGGTTTGCCGTAACAGGTTTGGTCACTCGCACTGCGAGTTCAAGGGTGAAGCGGCTCGTGCATCTGCCAAATAGTGTACATACACGTCATCATGGGTATGTAATACAGCGGTCATCGACCTTGTGCCACTCTTGCGCATCAACCAGGCCTGGGCCTTAAATATGCCGCGTGTGTCCACAGATGGGTGTCTGTACGAAGAAGCCACAAACGCAAGGGCCCCATGTTACGAAAACTCATGGTGGCGGAACCTGAATTGTGTGCGTGGCTTGGGTTCAGGCCATGTTATATACCCACCGGTCGAAGAAGGCGATGGACGAGGGCAGTCCCCGGGTTGACCAAGGAGATGCCCACTGCCCTGCTAGGTAAGCCGCAGAAATATGTGCATGTTTATCGAGCTGGTAAGAATAATAACTCTCAATAGCCGAATTGAGACTGGAGAGAACACCCATTACTCGAGTGGGGGTTGATGTCATTTTGAGAAGTGGAAGGATGGTTGGATTCCAATGCTCCTGCCTCCTCCGCCATCTCAAAAGCACCACTCGATTCTCACTCTTCCGATCCCAACCCAACCCCGGAATAATAACTTAAAAGTCCACATCAGTCCATTAAATATGTCGGCGCTAACTTTTCTTATCTTCCCAAAACCAAGAATAACTCCAGAAAAAGAAAACCACTTTTCGCTCCTCCGACCCCCCAACTCCTTCCAGCGACAACAACGTCCCCCAACAACCCGTCCGGATGTTGGAGAAAGATTGTGGTCGCCATCTAGCCGCTTCCCAGCCCATACCTCACCGCCACGACCAAACCTCAGCTTGGCCTCAAGTCGCCAGTGTCGGCGGCCGCTGCAGAGCTGTAGGCAACTGTTACCGGCTCAGTTCTTTACCAGCCCAGTTCTTTACCAGCCCGAGAGGTCATACTTTTCATCGCAGTCCCAAGTACCAAACACGCGGTTCTTCAGTCTCCTGATGTCCTCGTCGGTCAGCGGCGTGCACCCGCCACACGCGCACCGGAAGCCGTACGTCGAGTACAGCTCAGCTGGCGACCCCCCGTAGCTGATAAACAGCTCAGCACCCCGCCGGGACCACGTCTTGACAAATCGTGAAGGAGATGACCTCACGCTCGTCGTCAAAGACATAACTCCACATTCCGAGCCGACGGGCAAGCATGGTTGAAGCGGGATGCAATCTCAAAGATAGCGATGCCGCCAGGGACGAAGAATCTGTCACCGTCAGACGAAAAACCCCTGAAAAACATGGCAAGCAACATAGTCCGGAGGCGTGGGGCTTACGAATTGAGCACCTTGATGCGCTCGACTTTGCTGAACTGGTCTCCGTTTTCGCCGTCGTGGAGGCTTAGATACGCCTTCTTCGCCGCGTCCGAAAGGTTGTGGTAATCCGGCAGCAGCCGGAAATGGGTCGTACGCAACAGCGGGCGCTCCACCAGGATTGTCTGGCCCCTCACGAGATTCCGCGCCGCGAAGGCTCCCAGCCCGCCGAGATCCGACCGTTGAATTTTGAAGAACTCTTCGAAGCCGGCCGCCGCTGTCCCGACATTGTCTGTCGGCGAGGACGGGACGGCGGTGTGTTCCTCGGGCTGGTCTTCCTGTTGCTTAGGGCCCGCATCTGCTGGTGGGGTTCCCGTTCCACTGCTAGCGGCCACTGTTTCTGATGCTGAGGACTTCGTGTGCTTTTTCTTGTCGGCACGGCAGACGACTCCGGAATCCGCCTCTGACAACGCCCCAAACAATGCAGCCTCGGTTGCTGCTAGGGGCGTCTGCTCGGTGCTACGCCGGCGCTTGTCAACACCCCACTCCACTTCTACCAGTCTCGGGTTATCACTCCAAGATCATACCTGGATGGCGCACCAGAGGCGCTGGCCTCCGTCTTGAGACCCCTCCTGGCTGGCTCGCCGCGCCTCTCTGCTGATGATACCTGAGTTCGGCAGCAGGTCGGGCTTCTCACACTCCGATTCTTCGTTGATGGCGAGGGCCTGAATAATACCGTTGAGGATGTCGCGGACATCGTCTTCATCTTTTAGATCGAGCCGTGTAAGATGTTCAGCTAATGATGCTGTCTCTGTTATATGCTTGGTGATGGTCTCGGATTGGTGTTCGTTCGGGGTTTGGAGTAGCATCTAGGTGATCGTGAGTGAAGACTTCCTTCTACCAGAGCATTGGCGGCGAGGACTGACCTTGGGGTTGTCGATAGCTTCGGCTGCGATGATGGCAGGCGGTACTGGAGCTTCGTTGTCATTCTGCTCGGTTGACCCAGAGATAGGGATATTGTCGATCACAGGGCCCTTGCCATTGCAAGGCTTGAGAGCTGCCGTGGCTTTTGTCTGGCTATCCTTGGAGAGTGGCATCGTGAGGCTGTCCATTGCGTTGAAGTCGGTTCTTGTCGTAGGATTGCTGGGCGTCTGTTGCTGGCCTGGAGCTCGTGCTATCCAATCTTGTGTGTGGGGGAGGCTCTTATGCTATGTATGAGAGGTTGATTGCCTGGTTGTTTGGTCAGTTTGTGTTGGTTGTTGTGTGCGCTGCTGGGCAAACGGGCAGCGGAACTCTGGTGTTTGGCGTTGGTTTGTGGCCGAGATAAGATGCTTGTGGCTTGCAGTGGAAATGAGCCTGTTGTTAAAGGATATGGGTCTAGGTCTATTTTTCGAAAGCAAGGTGTGGAAGATTGTGAGGGAGAAGCGTGGCTTTGCTGTGCGTTTTGTTGTGTAATATATAAAGAATATGGAAGAAGGAAAGCTTAGGAATATGGTGCGTGGTTGCCAGTAGGTGTTGTGGCATGCAAGAAAAACTTCGGCGACGTGGACTGAAGTGCTGAGGTTGAGGAAAGCAAAAAGGCGGAATTGGGAGCTACGGCGGAGGGCTCGGGGGTGGTGAGTAGCGACTACCGGGGGAAGTGAATGGTTCTTGATGCAAGTTGAAAAGGTCAAAACTGTGACACTGGCGTAAAAGGTCTTGGGCCGTCAACCATGGATCGAGATGGGGTCCCCGCAACAACGTGAAACTGTTCGGTTTCCTTACTTGCGAACAGGTTCGGTGGTCACCTCGCCTTGGAGTTACGGTTGGTTGCAAATCAGAGCAAGGCTCAATCAACATCCGTTGTTGTCATGGGTGCGGCGAAATAAAGAACAATTGCTTAGATGGATTTACTGCTTGCAAATTGGCCCAGAGCTCGCACTCACATCCAAAGCCAAAGGCGTGTGCAATATAAGGAAGGTTTGCGCCGTCGATTTCCAGCGAGAACCACGGACTGGGTAGCCTAGCGGTTACTGGCGGTGGTTCTCGGCCCACGGGCTAGCTAGTTCGCCTTGAAAGGTACCCGGACGTAAGGGAGGCTATAGGCTCGAATCATGATGCTAGCACCGATTTTCTGAGGAGGCGTTTGGGACGCCGGTGTCCCCCAAAGTTCAGGAACGAGCACCCCCCATCGGCCCGACGGGGCATCACGGGGTTGCACCACGGAGTAAACCCCCCGCAAGGGGGGTTTCATAGCCGGCTACCTCTCTTCGACCGCGAAGGGAGTTAGCCGGTGAGCTTTTGCTCCTCGCCTCTTACAGGCGAGCCAGCTCTAGGGCGAGAGATCTCGCTGTAGCATTTAATACGGGGAATGCTTATAGCAAGGAGTGGTTTGGAGAACCGGTTGATACAACCGAGACCCATAGAGGTTACTCTTAAATTGGATTCTGTCATGTACACGCAGCGTCGCCCGACAATTTTGACGTGTTGTAGACCGGTTTGAAGGATGTAAACAAATTTAGGCATTGCTTAGCCGCCTCTGAGTTCAGGCTTGGCCCAAATATTCCCCTGCTGCTAACCCAACTGTTGGACTGACTTACCAATTACTAGTGACAAGAGGAAAGCCAATTGAGAAAGACTCTCGCGCTTCCGTATTCTTGTTGGTGGTAACGAGTCCCCCGGGCAGCCCGGTTATACACGGAATCACCACAAAGGACCGCCAAACTTGCTGGCGGTGTCGGACAGCATGACACCTCGCCCTCACGTTTCGAAAGAATGGTAACACGTCAGGTTCATAGGGTTTCACAGCCCCTGTGTCAGCTCGGTATTGTTTAGTTACACTTGTCCTTCGTGCTATCCCACACAACACACCTTCGTGAGGTCAACGATGGTTGAGGTTCATGAGCTCATGAATCTATCTCATATAAGACTAGACTCTCGCCAATCACATTACCAACTACCACGGGCTTTAAGTATTGTCAGCGTGCTCATCAAGAGCTGCTAAGAACAAGAATAAGACACCCATTTTCATGAGATATGATCCAGTAGCGTCGACTTTGGCAAACTATCACGAACTCCCGCCGTTGCCACCATGTGAAACTCTGTATTCCACCTTTGCGGAGCACCAACTGGAACGAGTGAGTATATTAGAGCTCTCAAAGCTTTGGAGAGGGGGCTTGGTTTAGAATCCGGCGGGAATAGAACCACTCACTCGTACCCAAGCTTGACCCAACCCCTGGGCCTCAACACACTCACGAACATCACGATGCGTCCCCATCTTGTTTCTGTTCTCCTTTTCATTAGCACCGGCAAGTTGGCAACTGCAGCGCCAGCACTTACCAATAACCACCACCCGCTGCTCAACTCGCCACTCTTCAACACCCCTTTGCCGCCACCCCCTTTCCCCCTAGGGCGGGTCTTCCCCAGGCTCTTTCGCCCGCCCCAAGCCCTAAAACTCGACGCAGCCGACCTCGATACGCGCTCCCACCACCACCAGCCCTTGGAGAACCCAAAGCAGCATGGCCCCCTGGGCGCCATCACAGTCACCGACAACGCCCCCCTCACTCTCACGCCCGTATCAACGCTCCCCCTCCCCGACGCGGAAACCACCCCAAGCACAACAGAAGCCCCTAACCCAGCAACCGACTCCTCCACCGCCAGCAGCAACAACAACACCAGCGACCCAACCCCCGGCTCAGTGATCATCATCCCCGCCAACACCATATCAATGCTCCCCCCCGGACCAAGCCCCATGCCAACCATCACAACAACCACACTCCCAGCCTCAACCCCTACTACAAACAACACCGACACCGACACTGACACCACCACCGCGCTCCCCGCCGTAATCGCCCAGTCCGTCACCTTCCTCGAAACAGTCGCCTTCACCACCACCGTCCTGCCCGCGGTGACAGTCACGGGGCTGCTGACGCTCACGAGTGTGGTGGTGGTTAGCGGGACGCCGGTTGGCGGGGCGGTGGCGTTTACTACTGTTGTTGGTGTTGCTACTGGTGGTGGTGGTGACGCGGTTGCTACGGCGGCGGCGGCGGCGGTGGTGGTGGTTAACTGATGTTGGGGTTGGTGCTGCTGGTGAGTGGTGGTGGGGGTGGGGGTGGGTGAGTGAGTGGGTGTGTTGTGTTGTGGGGGGTTTGGGGGTTTTTGGGTTTTTGGGGGTTTGGGGTTTGGGGTTGGGATTTGGATTGGGGGGGGGTGGTGATGAAAATGATTGTGTGTTGTGGTGGTGAAGGTTGCGGTCGTTGTGGAGGCTGTGTGATGGAAATGGTGTTGGTTGCTGTTCTCGCCCGCATTTCCTTTTTTGTTTCCTCTCCTTAGTCCATCCCGTTCACAACGAGCGTGATGCTCGAAAAGGGGGACCAGCGGCTGTTGCGGCCCATTGGGCGCCGGCCGACTGGCATGGCGCCAACAGGCTCTTGTCAGTGGCTCGCGTTCGTTCGAAAACAACCACCGTTATTGTTCAGGCCCAGAGCTATCCAGAAGGCGCACCCGGCGAGACGAACTAAAGGCTGGGGCGTTGGCCGTCGTGTGATAAGCCACACCAAGTAGCTCCCCTATACTTAAGAGGCATGTAGAAGATACATCCAGGAGACACTCAGCCCTGGGGTTTAGAGGTTCAAACTAGGCTGTTTGTCTTAACCCGCCTCCTCGTTTGTGGAGGCTGTCTCAGATCTGTCAACGCGGTCTCTGAACTGGGCGGCCCAAACCCGCGGCCACAGTGGATGATGCAACAAACCCGGGGGATGCCATGCTGCGGCTCAGCACAGGTATCACCAGCCTCACCAACCAGCACGCTAAACCTACATGAATGAGTTTCTGGAACGCGCAGCCTAGTCCAGAGGTTTACCCGCTGCCGTACCCCCACAGCTGCCAGGAGCAGACGCACACTTGGCTGTTTGCCTCGCCGTTGGACCGCTGTCACGAATATGCCAACAGGAGAGACCTCGGGTTGCGGGACGCCCCGAGCCAATCACTAAAAGGACCAATCAGGGAGCCAGGAAGGTGATCGGGGTGATCAGTGAGCTCAGTTGCCAAGCCGGAACTGAGCATACTGAGCACCAGGTAAAGATCACCAATCAGGATAACAATGGCTGAACAGTGATCAGGAGCTCGAA